GAGAAATCACAAGGAAAATCCATAATTAGAGAGGAATTTTATGGACTGGTTTGTTAAGCTTTTGCAATTTGACCATTGACTCGTGGCTAATTTAATGAATGTAAACTATTAGTGCAGAATGAGAAGTAATTTCTCTGATCAAATGTCGAGTTCCCTTAATTAATGTTAGTTGAAAGTAATTGGTCAAACTAACACTGTGTGTTTTGATAATTATTTCGATATAGTTTGACATTAGATATGGAACTTTGTTATTATTCACTACAGATAATTTATACTATTACCACCTTGCCGGGCCAGTTCTAGGGGTTTTAGTGCTAGTTTAGAAGGCATCCATTTTACTATATCGACCTGAGCAATATGTGACGTCATAGTGGTAGTCCATATTGCCTGGTCGAGAATGCAATTTTTGACCGGCAATTTTCCCCGGGAAATTAGATATCGTTCAGTGCATAAGATTTTCTTGCTGTTTCAGACCTGGTCATTAACGGTGGTTATAATACTGCGGGCAATATAGTGAAATATTGGACCTTGAGCCTTCGGCCCTCGGTCCGATATTTCACTATATTGCCCTTCGAAATGACGTTATTGTACTAGTACTATATAATAGGTTATTAAATGATTTTGAGTATCATACATTGTAAAATTAATATTTCGAAGGCATATTAGTTCAGGTATTTTATGAGAAATCATTGAATTTATACTATAGTAAAATATGTCTCAGTGGAACACATTTGGTACCTATAAAATGTCTTCTACTTGGGAGGTGTTCCACTTTTAGAGGTCCATCTTACATTACATCAGTTGGTCTCAGTACTCTGAAAAATGTTCTTCTAACAAAGGTGTTCCTCTATACAGGTTCCAAAGTATTCTAGTATTAAGTCATATGATGATATGGACCATGGGGTGTTTTCAAGTATATGCTCACCTACATTGGAATCTCTGAGGCACATCTCCTCTAATTGATTTATGACATAGAACTGTCTTTAAAATAATACTTAATAAGGCAATAACATGCAAAATGTCACCACCTGCCATTTGCTACAAAAGGCGAATGCTGAACTTCTGGTGGTGAAATGAAAATTGAAAAATCCAAATTAATGAATAATTTACATCTAAAATAATGCATTTAAAAGTACAAAATTCTGGAATGTTACAAAATCAATTCAAAAGTTCAAAAATGACACTACAAAATAACAAAAACATCCTGGGCTGTGCCAACATTAAAATCCTGGAGAAAGTACTGTACTCATAAGATATAAATAAATCAGTTCCAGCAACATAGATGCCATCTGCTAGACATCACAAAACTGGTCAGTATAAGCAGTTTATTAGATCAGTAAAATACGGGATTTTCTGGCTGGGATTAATTTCACATCATACAAGGAGACAGATCTTTGAGGGTGACATCTATTAAAATAGTAGAAATCTAAATTTTGTTGTGGCTTGATAGTAATTTAGATGTCGATCGTATCAAATCGAAAACAAATTGGAAAATTAATTGAATGTCCGCCTAACTTCACATGATCATAGATATCCCGGAGAAAAGTCTCATTTTGTACTAATCATGTAATAGCAATGGTTTTCCCAATATAAATGTACCTATTACTGAAGGTCCATTTTTGCCATTTGTATTTAATGCCAATATGAGCTTTGTATGACAGTTTTTACTAATCATGTAACAGCCATGGTTTCTACAACATGTACTGAAATTCCTTTTTTGTTTATATATGTTAGACCATTCAATATCTATTAAGTGTCAAATTTTTATTTAATTTATTTGAATATTGCTTCAGTTATGCATAACCATGGTAACTGTATTATATAATATATACAAAATGTCTTTCTCTCTGTATTCTACACTTCTGCACTAACAAACTAAACTCATCTAAAAATACCTAAAACAAAATTTGAAAATGCTGGTTTGCATTCATTTGAATTTTTCACAGTCTTCAAAAACGAAATCATGTGATTGACCCTCTTTCTCTCCTATAACAAAATTATGCAAAAACTGTTGATACTTCAATTAATAATAAAACACATTTTATACCCCAATTGAAATTGCTTACTTTAATATCTTAATAATAAAAATTATCAAAACTCCTTTCATTCACACATTATCATGGCCTTATGAGATTAGTATGCGTCGCATCTGACTGGGTAAATAGCTTAAATAGGAGCTTTAAGCAAGATTGACAGACTAAGAAATCAGCCACATACAGTCTTATTGCTGTACTTATATTAGATGAAAGAGGCTTTGCGTAGCATAGAAATTACATCAGTTAGCTAAAACCCTAGAGGAAAATTAATTTGTAAATAACATGTCACGGTTCCCCTATAATTCAGCAGATCCCCAAGGCACATTGATCTTCTTCATTGTACTGGCAATATGAGATAATATATTTTATGTGGTATTTCTTCTGCAATAAGTTCAGTAAAACTTGTATATCGGAACTCCTCTGGAACCTTAGAATAGCGTTCCATTTTGGAGGTATACTGTATTTAATCTACTCCAAGGTAGCTATTTCAATAACCTTTTCCACATATTAAGTTGTCTCTACAAGGATTCACTATTTCCTATATCCATTTTAAATATTACCTGGAGGCCCTGCATTTGGTCCTTATTGGATGAAGCTCTCTTTTAAGATAAGAAATCAAGTATTTGAAAATGGTACATGGAAATAATTACTGAGTCAACTTTTCTTTACTTATTCTTAATCACGGGCACATTTCATTAATCACAGAAATATTTCACTACAGGTTAGTAATATTTCATTTGCACCTGCGTCTGTAGCCTTGCCCAAGTCGGTCTCTTTTACTATCTGATTTCTATTATGACCGCCTTGTACCAAAGAGAAAGCCACGTGCTTTACCGACTCAATGTTTATGTCGGTAAAATTTGACCAATCAACGACGGCCCTGCAGCGTTGGCTCATTATTATGCACGGTCAAAAACAAGTACACTTTTCGTCGGGACTTCACGAACAAATCTTGCATGAATTCATCATGAAAATACAAATATTTTATCAGATAAATATCAATCAGAGTTAAGTGGATGCCAGACATCGATCGGTAACCGGAGGTTAGAAGATTTCAACAATAAACGTTGAAACGATCGCTGAATTCAAATGAACATGTACGCTGAGATTCAATCACTGATCGACGACTACATGACCCGCTACATTGGACTAGGTCTTGCATTTTCATCGCGAGATCAGTTTTAAATCTATTGCATGATTTAATTTATATTAATGACTCTTACATTCCCTATGTGCATTTAATCACATAATATATTGTAACTCTAAAGAAACGATCGATCAGATCATTGAATTTCAAGTCGTAGACGGGAAGATTGCGTTGCTGTCCACGCGTATATCTGTTAACCAATAAGGTTTCGCGATACTCCTGATAGCGTAGGTATTATGGAAATCTCGAAACCGTTGAATATCTCAGCATAATAGCAGCGGAGATGTATTGGATTGTACAAGGCGGTAATAATTCAAGATCAGATAAGTAAAAAATACCGACTTGGGCAAGGCTACTGCGTCTGTAAAGATGGGATATTTCATTTTCAGTATTTATTAGAATTTTGACTATTCTATTGTAGCCCTATTTACCCTGTTTTTTTATCAGACTCAATAACCTCATACCCTCTGACTATTTTAGCTAATTTAGCAGTTTTGGTACAGGTCTTAATGATCCTAAATATAGCTTTCCACTTGGAGCTTTGAAGTTCAATTTTTGATTGAGCTACATTGTACAAGTACTTATAGGAAGATATGTATGTAGTGAAACTTAGCTATATATCACTCTAATCCAAATATCTATCAATGTGAACACCTTCTTCTCAGTCCCAAAGGACGATTCTCGGTTTCGAGAACGAAGTTCATCAATCTAAATGAGCATTATCCCTGCTTCAGACAAGTTTGATTTTTTTTACATAATATAGATTTGAATGTCTTCTTTTGAATAATCATAATTTAATTTAGGTAATATTTCTGGATTTTTCGCCAAAAAATATTAGCACAGTACACTAATGAACTTCTTTCCCCAAATCGAGACTTGTTTTTATTGAATCGGTCTAATTGAGCGTTATCCCTGCTTCAGACCAATTTGTTATTTTTACATCTTGTAGATTTAAATGTCCTCTTTTGAATATTTATAGTTTAATTTGGGTAATATTTCTATATTTTTCATGAAAAAAATTATTAGCCCAGGAGACTGTTCTCCAAACCGAGAATCGTCCTTTGTTATCTCCCATTGACTTACATGTTGAAAAAATCTTGAAATGTGAACACCTGCTAATCTGAACAATTTTGGCTGGTTTCTGAGGGCCGTTCAGATTAGACAAGATTAACTTAACTTGTTATAATTCATAACTGCATACATCTTATTAAAGATTTTCAAACATGACGCACCCTAATTGAATTTCTCAACCAATCAAAATGCAGCATACCCAATATAGAATGTTCTCTATTTCTCAATAGATGCACAACCGTGCTCTATTCAAGCATCCGGGTATCTATATTTTGTGATGTCCCTATGAATGGCGAAAATAACAGCAAGTTATTTTTTATGGACCACCAATACCCAATTCTCTGAACAATGTTTTCATTTTTATGTTTGAATCAGAATAAATAATCAGTGATCTCTCCAGCGTTAAAGCAAGTGAGCGTAGCACCCACCTGAGATTTTGAAAATCCATTTGCGCCCACTTGAAAATGAGAAAAATCATGAAAAATGGGCATATTTTGACCAATTTTGGGCTGAAATGTGAAACGAGAATTTTGCACCCACTTGAGAAAAAATCCTGTGGAAATCACTGATAATGATAGGCCATTCAATATGGTGAAATTTGGTTCGTGCTTGTAAGACATTCTGTCCAACTTGTGCTGAATTTCACCATATTGAATGGCCTTAATTATAAGCCAGATCATAGAATCGCTGATTCAGAGTACAGAAAGAGTCCACCTCTAACGAAGAGTATCTCTAGGTGTACTTACTTGAGGTAATAGAGTCTGCCAGTGGTGTTAAGTTTTGCCTCCCATTTGTCTGGAAGGTTGGAGTTTATCGAAGCAAGCACTGTTCCACCTCTCTCCATCACTCACAACCTAGATGCTGAAGTTGAGGTTCCAACATTTTCGACTCCTAAATAATAAATACAAGGAAAAGATACTTAAATGCCATGTTTTTGGAAGGTTCCATGCAGCTGACATTTTAAGATACATTTTTGCATGATTAGAACTTTCGTATAATGTTCATGATTAGAACTACCAAAAATCAAAGAAATTTGTAATTTACTTTTCAAAATTTCATGTGGATATTTACATATTATGGTTGAATGCATAGTTCGAAATAAAAATCATTTTTTGTTGAAAGTCTGTCGTATCCTCAATTTTTGTTAATTTTCCAATTTTGTCAAGTGCAGAACCTCAAAGTTAAAAAATGCCTTCAACTAAAGAAAAGTCCCATGTTTCAAAGCTCTGCATTAGACTATACTGTAACGTCATTAAACCATTAACTCCCATCATCATCTGAAGTTAAATCCCCACACTTTGATTTCTTCTTATTTTATTTGGTTATCAGTACTGCTTAGTAGCATTCAGTCCATCGAGGTAGAATAAATGTTTTCTTTTACACATTATTTTATACTAAATTATCATCCTGAGAGAAGAATAAAAGAGACATGTGTATTACTAAGTGAACAACAACGAGACCCGAGAAGATGATATTACATGAAATGAAAGTTCCCATGTGAACTGCAGTATTTCGATATTGAGTATATTAAACTATCTGCTCCTGTTTTCAGCGGGCCCTCCTCATGTTTTCAGCGGGGCTTCCTCATAATTTCAGCGGGGCCACTGGCACACCTTCAGTGATGTATTTCACCCCCCACAGTGGATGTTTTTGAAAACAAACTTATCAATACATACAATGTTGGTCCAATATTCATAATGAGGTATGTATATCGTAGTTCTTGTCTCTATTTTAACCATAAAAGTAATATGTTAACAGTAAATTATGCAAACGTGCATATTGACGCCCGTTTCTTCCATGCCAGTAAAAATAGATATCTTTCATGTCATTGTTTGTGAGTATATACCTGTTCTGAAAGTATACCTAAAGTATCAAAGAACAGTAATGCGTATTCTTACCTTTTTGGTCCATATTTCCAGATGAATTAAATAAAAAGGACTTTGCTCGTGATTTCAGCGGGAACTTGCTCGCGATCTCTCAATTATAACGGGGCTTTGGATACAACCCGTGGTATTACTAAGTGAACAACAACGATAGCTGAGAAGATGATATTACATGAAATGAAAGTTCCCATGTGAACTGCGGTATTTCGATATTGAGTATATTAAACTCGAGGGATAGTAACGAGATCTTGTTTCAGCCACAAAGCTCATCAAAAAGCAACAAGAAACATGTTTATTACTTATTTTAATCCTGGATTTTTGTGCATGATAGTCTTAGCTAAGTTCTCACATCCCCCCCCCCTCTACACCTATGTTTAAGTAGACCAGGGGGGTCTCGAGACTTAAAACAAGACTACGAGCTTTGAGTATAAATGCCTATTCAAATAGAAAAGATTCTCTATTATTGACAGTGGATACTATCATATTAGCTTATAATGACTCCAGGTCACAATTAAGTGTGTTATCTGTGCAAGTTAAGGTTACTCCCTTTCATCATCATTGGAAATAGATTCCGCTTACTTATCTTGATATTGCTGTGAATTATGACTGTAACAGATCACTATGTGTAAACAGTTTGTTTATTTCTTAAATATCTGATAAGTTATAGGTGTAGAGGTCAGAGGAGTGGTAATATCAACTGATAAAAAAATAGCTCAAGGTATCGGTATGTACTTAAAGCTTAGGCATGGTTGATTGGTTTCTCGATTAGATTTTCCCCTTCTTCATCACAAGATTTGCAACATAATTGTATATGAGCTTATTATACAGGGCGACACAAAAATGAAACCCTCATATTTTGAAATAGGTTTCTAATTATGATCGCATCTTTGTGAATTTTCTTGTATAGATAGCGTTCAATCAGAAAACAGTGATGTACTTACATACATGTAAAATCAACAGTTTTGGGATACTGAGAAATAATTGTGTTATTCCATAAATAGAGGGTTGTATATTTGTGTCACCCTGTATACAGAGTGGCTCACTCTGGTTATAAGTTATTTTATGCTGCAATAACAGGCCATTCCTGTAACATGCTATGACAGCATGTAACACCCTGGCCATTCATGTAACAGCATATAACACATGTAACACCCTGGCCTCTTAGAGGTCAAGTAACCTTCAAATATTTGGCTAAACGATGCATGATGGTGTTAAGTTGAAACATTTTCCACATTTTGCTACTTACTAAATAGCTAAGTGTGGCCTATGTTTGTGGAATTCTTAATACTGATTTGAATATATACACTGTATATCTGGTAGTAATGTTATGACAAGGCATTAACATGCAAAATGTCATTTGTGGTGGTGACAAAAATGGTGGTTGCAGATTTCTGTAAATTCCTATAAGGGGGATCAAATGACTATCCCATGGTAGTAATGTTATGACAAGGCATTATCATGCAAAATGTCACTTGCAGTGGTGACAAAAATGGTGGTGGCAAGTTTCAGTTTAATTGTCTAAAGGATGAAATGGCCTAACCAGACAATGCAATAATGATTACTTGCGATTTCTTATGCAAACCTCAATATAATTAATCATGATTTTTATCAAACTAATGTCTATCCTAAAGAGAAAAATCAGACAGAGTAGGTGACAGTACCCATGATAAAAATTAGTTGTTTTATTGATACATGTATTTTATTCCAACAGTTTTAATTTTAATTGCACTTCAATCAAACACACAATTTACTGGATTATCATGTGGCCAGAATAATAATACATGTAAATATAATCTAGATTATATGTTTAAGAGCATTAAAATTATTTTTTAATGGTTGACTTAGTGCGTGTACTCTTGTATTGGGATATGGTGAAGGTTACATTTACTAATACCATCAACTTTTATATACATATATTACGATGAACATATAGACATTTTGCATGAGTTAAAATTGTTAAAACATAGCCCCAGATTGTCTAAATTTTTAGTTGACTACCCAGAATTGATTCTGAACTAAATCAATATCTAAAATAATTTTTTGAATGAAAATCATATTAGTATTACAGTTTTTAATTCAAAACATATTAGTAATACAGTTTTCTAAATTGTCACTAAAATACTGTGAACTCAACACAAAAATGGCAGCCATTTTGAAATTGATAGCCATTTTCAAATTTGTCTTTCGACCTGAACATATACTCACATAGGGCATATATATATATCAGAAATGTTAATGAGCCAGCAGTATTGAATTATTGGCCAGACAGACGAACTGATGGATGTATGAATGGATAGACAGAAGCATTCTCTATTTCTTCATTTGTGAAGGCTAATGCTTCAGAAACCTATTGAATATCTAAAAAATATTGTTTCGCTACCTTCTCTTCGGTGAACACTATTAATAAAACTTTTATAAGGTTGTTTTCAATTCTTGTTAAATTTTGTTAATGATACAAATATACATGTAATGTTTATGCTAATAGCGTGCTAATGATCTGTATTAATATTTATTAAATCACTTCAGCTAGGCTAAGGCAATTAATATTATAAGTTATTGAATGATTTGAAGTGCAATACAGGATATATTCTGCTCGAGAAATATTACGTATTGGGACGAGACGAAGTTGAGTGCCAATACAGAATATTGAGACAGAATGTATCCTGTATTGCACTTCAAATCATTCAATAACGTTTTTATTGTGTGATCCTCTGTCCCGTCCTCTGAATTGCTACTGAGATTGTCCCCTCCGTACCAATATTTTCTGGATGAATCTCAGTAGCAATACAGATTGGTACAGCACAAGAACTGACCAATCAGAGGGCTTCATTTTACAGATCATACGATAACTACATTTATATACAAGTTGGTCATAAAATATAGGTTTTGAAGTTTAGTTCATCTTTTTCTTTTGCCAGTATTTTTAGATCACCCTGTAATGTGCAAAACAGAAATCAAACATAAATTTGGGCTCCCAATGCTTAAATGAAACAAATTGAAAAATTTTGTTGTATATTTTTCAGGTATACCTGGGTACAAAAAAACAGACGTCTCTGTTAGCAGTGAAATCTAAAACAAGAGGCAACGGTTGGACAAACATGCCACACATGTTAAAGTGATACAGGGTGATTTTGTCAAGACCTTTAGCATGTTGCATGCTACCAAATGTAAAGTGCATTAACTAGTAAAGATGCATATAAAACTACACAAGGTTCTAGTCAGGTAATCATTAACCGTTGACAATATACTTCCTGTTACTTGGAAAGTATGATATACAGACAGCTGCACATTAATGATTTTAATGAAATAATATGATGCAATATGTTCAATAATGGAAATATATGTTATCAGTAAATTACAATAGAACAATCCACAGGGCAGGGATTAATACAGGGACTTTACTTGTCTAGAGATGGCAAGAAATATTGAAATAAAATTTTGAATTGATATCTAGTTTTACCTTGTCATCAGCATGATTTGCATATTAGGTACACCGCAAAATAGATGCATATTCGATAAATCTATTCATGACTGTCCATGGCTCAGGTTGATTCTGAAGTGAGTTGAAAGCATGTTAAGGACCCTTAAGTAAGTAGAGCGAAATGTTGAGTTCAAATAAATGCAAAATGAATGAGAATATTAAAAAATTGTTCAAATAATTGATATTCACAATTTTTCTTTCATAATTTTTTGCGCTTATTATTACTCACCTGATGATATTTGGGGGATATCCCTTAGACAACTCAAAAATATGAACCTGAAATTCTAAAGGAGGATTGGCCACAAGACCTCCAACTTGATATTCGACCTTGACCTAGAGGGATGACAGCATTGAAAATGTTAATCATAGATCCAAAAGATTTGAACTAATATTTTAATCACCTCTTGGGTGTTTTAAAATTTTTTATTTGGAAACAAGACCAAAACTCGTGATCGAAATTTTGAAGTGAAAAAGTGGTGGCTGCTTGATTTAGAATTTTGTAGTCATGTTATAACTCCATATGTAGCAGAATATTGATTATCAAGATTACTCCCATAAATATGACGTTGATTTTTCGAATCACCCCGACATCTACCTCTGTAGAGAAATCTTTAGGTTTAAAAAAAGCTGGATTGGTGTTTATTTAAATTAAATTCAGCTTTGTATCAACGAACTACTGACAACATTTTTCAACCGTAAGTTTTCAATACTTGTGGGGTGATTTTGTGAAGTTCTTGTAAAATTCCACAGAAAAACAGCTGACATTTCCCTGGGATATAGAGTCATTAACTAAACTGTCTATTTTCATTCAAAAGAGATAGAGACGGACAATATTCGATGCATTTCCAGGAAGAAGCTGTCTTCTGCTGTCACGAGAGTGAGTAATTATTAGCCCCCTCCTTTTATAACTACAGGCTAGAATATAGGTTCCCCCTTTTTATAACTACTGTATAAAGATAAGCATATATGCTATAAAAGGACGTGGGAGTCGGTGACTTACACCTACTCCCCGTGTTTGATCTCCAATGTCATGTGAATTTCTTCAGAAGAAATTTTGGGAAAATAAAATATTAGAATTTTTATGCCTTCGTTTTCGCAAGGTCATTTCACCTCATTTTGCTTCAAATCAATGTAATTATTGTTTTTATTCATTCTAACATGTGTCTTAATGATAGCAACGTATATTTTAACATCATTTAATGCAATAAACGCAAAATAACTCACCTGCTGGAAAATCTATGTTTGGGTTGCACTCAAATAACGAACGGATAAAAATATATAACCGGAAGTTGTGTTCGGAATATTAATGAGGTTGTTTGTATATCCTGGCTACACCCGAAGCTCAATTAGAACATAAACAGGCTAAACAAACTCACCGTATTCAGCGTATTCCTGTCTGAATTTATTCATAATTCAGTCCACAACTCCAGAAAAATGACTTATTCATTTAATAATTTGTATTTCTACTACTATGACATCAATCCCATTCAACCTGTCTAAATGACACCATTGCTTACTTCATAGCAACCCCGAGAAGGTTGTTCAGTAGGAAATCCAAGTGACAGTGCCGTGTACATTAAAAAGGCAAATTCAAACTATTGTACAGAGTAGATACAATAAATATTGCTCTTAGTATTGCTTTGATATGTCAAAACCTAAGTGGAACACCTTTGATACAGGCTCTGAAAAGTGTTCCACTTTGGAGGTGTTCCACTTATATAAGTTCAATTATCATACAGTCAGTTAATCTTAGGACTCTGAAAAAGTGCTCCACTACTTGAACAGAGATGTTCCACTTCTAGGTGTAGTTGAATAAGGACTTGTTATATACAGGAGTTGGAGAAATAGATGGCAGAACTAGTTTTGTCTGGGCTACAATACAATCATTTTATATAGAACAAAGCGACAAAGGGAATAAAGTTGATAAAACATTCTAAACCTGTATAAAAATTAGCTTGAACATGAATAAAAAAAATTATGAGAATATTATTTTATTAATTTATTTCATCAAACACAAGTACATTTGTAAGCATATAATTCAACAGAGATATAAATACAATGTACAATGTAGCTTCACATTCTTTTAAATTATACAATACATTGTATCATTTATTATTTATCACTACAATTAAAGTTTAACTTACTTTAAAATAATCTTGCATCAAGACTTTGGTCCCCCTTATCTTCTTCTCCAACACACCTCATGGTGTAAAGTAGATAGGGGGGGGGGGGGGTCCATGGTCTTGAAGCAAGACTTACTTTAAAATATTTGATTTGATTTTTATATTTGATTTAAAATAAAAAATTTTAAAAAAATAAAAAAAGGTATTCTCCATTTTTTCCTTTTGGCAATTTTAATGAACATCAAATAAGTTACTATTTCATGTTGTAAACCATATGTTGATCATACAGTTTAATGAACTATGAACTAAATACAGTAAATTATTACAAAAATACAAAGCAATTTAATACAAGGCATAACATGCAACTGTCACCACCAACCATTTGTTACAGACACCAACCACTGAACACCAACCACCATCCACAAAAAAATTGGAGACTATTACAATATGTCACCACTTATAGTGGTGACATAATAAATATTGATATGGCACATTAACTTTAAAAACGGCATACATGGCACATTAACTTGAAAAATGGCATATATGGCACATTAACTTTAAAAACGGCATATATGACACATTAACTTTAAAAATGGCAAATATGGCACATTCACTTAAAAAATACAGCACATAAACTGTGTCAATGTCAGAAAACTCAGTTTCTGGTTAATTGCCTTATATAAACAAAAAAATAAAAAAAATAAATTCATCAAAATGGCTAGCACCATATGAATCATTAATACGCTGTAAGTAAGACTGACAATGGCTGAATTGAGACCATTCTATTCATAAAGGGTTTCTGCCAGAAACATTTAATTTTCAATATACATTATTGTTACCAGAACAATGGTTTATCATGCCATTGTCTATTGTATTATCCAAATAATATAATCATATTTCTAGCCATTTCAGTATAAATCATGTCTGCTTTTCTCAGTTATTCAGTATTGTTTCTTAAAATGCACTTGGTCATGCAGATACCAATATTATATCCATTAGTGGATAAAAATCATATCACAATAAATCATAGGATATCCTCTTTTTATTCAGTATTGTTTTTCATAATTCCAATTTGTTATCCATGTAACTTATGTTTTCTTGTATTCTGTGCATTTTGCATGCTGTATTATTCCATTTATATTCCCCTTTTCATTAGCTTTGCTTCTTGAATATCCTGGTACATGTTACTCCCTTGGCAACCATTGTCATCTCCTGAATTAAACAATAAAATGCCATGGTGATTATATATCAAATGTCAATGGTGACCTTTTAAAAAATCAATTATAGTTGTGTTTTAAATCATGGCATGGGGTCAAGGGGATCAAGTTTTCAAATGTCAGTTGTTTAAAGTAAAAATTACTAGTATTCATTAGCACAAGAATTATCAAAGAACATACAGTAAAACCTGAATATCCAAACACCTCTCTAATCTGAACACCTCTTAATGCGAAACCTATTGTTGGCCCTATTATTTAATCTACCATTGGTTACTATGTTAAAAAACCTTGAAATGCGAACACCTGTCAATCTGAACCCTTTTGGTCAGGCCCAGTGGTGTTTTGATGAGACAGGTTTTGGGTTGTCAAATACTCTGCTTGACATGCTAAAAGCATCATTAATACTTAATAAAGAAAATAAGTCACAGAACAAACAACGAACAAACCTGTATCATTTCATCATTTTCAATACGTCTTGAAATTAGCTGTGAATCACTCTCATCTCCCACTGTATCCATCTTCAGCACCAAGGTATCCCCTTCCCAGCTGGCAAGGCACTGCAAAAGATTACATAACTCAAAGTAAAGGATACTTATGAGAAATGCAATGTATACCATAGTTATTAAACAGTTACGAGAAGTAAATGAGAAGACATCACCACTAAATATTAAAGGAACGCTGATCAATAGTGATGAAAATATGGTTGGAATATGGTTTTTGGCTTTCAAGATTTTTTGATTGATTGGTCTAACACCTTCCCTGATGATTAATCTTCCAAACATGCATGAAAGTATGTTAAAAGACTGCTGCTGTTGAAACTAAAAAGGCATGTGTATAAAGAGAACTGAAAGTCTTTATCTCGATCAACCCCCAAGAAGTGAACTTTCGAGTCCAAAGAATGGTTATAATACCAATTTTATGAAGGGGGTAAGTCGAAATGTTTCTAATGGAAATTGAAGAGATCATTGGAAGATTGTATAGATTAAACAATTTTAAATAAACTAATAAACAATTTGCAATACAAACCTTTTGTTTTTTCCCACTTTTATGATGTTCCTTTTCATATGGTTCACCAACAGTGAAAGTATCTGTCTGACTCCACATAGTTGTCACAATCGTTATTTCAAATTTATCACCATCTTGGACTATTGTTGTTACAGGGCTAGCCATTGCAGCCATCTTTCTTGCAAACCATGGTGCTCCTAGAAAAAAGTAATGATGTTTGTCTTTATGAAGTTATGTTTCCTCAAATTGATAATTCTTTGCATAAAATTTCACTTCAAAATCCCCAGGAGGGTACATAAGGTTGACAGATAGGGACTACTAGCAATGCATACATGTACCATGGACGTAGTTGTATACCCGGGGGGTTCACTCTAAATGATTTGGGGAGGCATGTGCAGCAGAGGCAATTTTGGCTTAGGGCATAAACCATGGAAGCTGGCCAATCTGAGAGGAAAAAAACATGGAAAATTTGTCGAAGAGAGAGCCTTTTTTAAGTCAAAAATCAGTTGTTCTACAAAAAATGGTAATAAATCGGTAAAATCAGTTGGCGAGGTCTGAGATAAATCACCTAAAAAGTGGATTTTATAGTTATACACCAATATTTCTGGAAATTTACTCCCTTTTATAAGTCCGAGAGGAAGTGTACATGGAAACTTTCAATCTTGAGAGGAAATTGACATGGAAAAAATGCTCAAAAAGGGGGTCTTTGGCGCGGCACATAGGTATTAAGAGGTATATTGGAGTGAACCCCTGGGGTCGTATATCAACATACCGGATTTTCTCGCATATAAGCCCTGGCGTATAATTGAAAGAAGGGGTAATTTCGTCTGTTATTTTACCTCTTATTTTTCGCCCATGGGCGTATAAGTATACTACTTTCGATTTTTGGCCCAGTGGGCGTAAAGGTGAGAAGATGGTGGGCATCAGCCATCTTCCTCAAAGACTACCATACCTACTGTTGTAGTCCTACCGCATGTTTTGTAAGAATTATAAAGGAAATGTCACCTACAACCTTGAACTTAATGTTGAAACAAACAACAGAACGATCCACCACTGCCACTTACGGCACAGCGTTGAACTTAATGTTGAAACAAAGTAACGACAGAACGATCTGCCAGTGACAAAATACTCTTGAATTTAAAACTCTTGAAAATAGTCATTTTAAGCGTACTACATTCGATTTTTGGCCCATGGGCCTAAATTTTGGGGGGCGTATATGCGAGAAAATCCGGTAATGTTCATGCATGTACCGCCGAAAAGGTGCACGGACACTGTCAGAGCCGGTAAGTCCTCTAATATTCTCTACATCAAAACATGGAAAGCTAAAAAATTGTATTCCTCCCTCATCTGATTCAAAGCTCCCATTTTAAAGCCATCAATGAGCAAATATTGCTTTTCTAATATAGAGAATATAAGAACGAGGGGTGACTTATTGCCCATGTTCATTTGATATGCTTTGGTAATTATTATGATTATTAGAGAACCTAAAGTTAAAAGTGAATTTCAAAGGACTTATATAAAGTAAAATATTTATTCTCAGGCATAATTTTGTTGACACTGAAAAATTAAAATTTGAACCCGGAAATGAATTCTCTTATATCCTTTTATTACCATTTGCTGCGAGGAACGCGTCAAAGTTTTCACTTCTATCCAGTTTCCATGATCCATTAAACTGATTTGTCATGTTGCTTTTGTAAAGATCTGCTGACACGTCCCGCTACAATACAAAACAAAAACAATTTACAGATAATTAGAGAACTTGTCAGCAAAGCTACCAGATTACGCCACTATTTCATCATGGATAACTTCCGGTGTAAAATCTTTGAAGCCAAGGCAATGAAAGCGGTATGTATACTTCCTTAGGCATTAAAAGTCATTTCTGTAGTGTGAATGTATTATATAAAGTTCACTGCTACAATTTGATACCATATTCTTTGCCATTTATGATATATACACTTCAAAAACTCCACTTCAACTATACACGTGAATATTTTCCTTTTTTTGATTTTTTAAGGACAGGGTGCATGTTGGGAAATTTTCTGCATTCCTCAATTGAGTCACATGTTATTTTTCAAACAGGAATAACTCCTTCCCCACATTGTCTACATCTTCCAAGTTTGCACAAAGAGTGCACCTTTGTGCCTAGAAAAGCCTTGTGAGAAGGTTTGTTTTGTAAAATGTATAAAAAATGAGAAAATTCAGTGAAAAAAAATTCTGAAAATTTTCTGATTTTTTTCACTGAATTTTCTTGTTTTTTATACACTTTATCAAAACATTCTTTTCACAAGTCTTTTCTAGGCACATAAGTGCAATCTTTGTGCAAAACTGGAAGATAAAGACAATGAAGAGAAGGAGTGATTCTTGTTTGAAAAATAACATGTGACTCAATTGAGGAATGCAGAAAATTTCCCATCATGCACCCTGACCTTAAATTATTTTTAAGGCGACGCTATATTAAACTAGATTTGTGAAATTGAACAAGTTCAATTTAAGACTCCAGATTTATTTGACCTAGATAGATCAGTAAAGAGCTGAGTAAGTAACTGAGTAATTAGCTGAGTAAGTACCTTAGTAGTAGTTGAGTAAGTAGCTGAGTAAGTAACTGAGTAAAAAGCTGAGTAGGTAGCTGAGTAAGTAGCTGAGTAAGTACCTGAGTAAGTTGCTAAGGAAGTAATAACTAATTAAGTAATTGAGTAAGTAGTCAAATAAGTAGCTGAGTAGGTAGAGAGGTAAAGTAGGGTATGCAGGAATTTTTGAAAGTATATTTGATCAATCTGCATCGTGAATACTGGCAAGTGCGAATTTCAAACTTCAAAATGGCGTAGAATCTAAACCGGGGGTCGGATTGCAATTTTAATTTCAGATCCAGATTCCTGAGGAAATTCTACCCCTAATTCATAACTCATACTTTAAAATTGGAGAACTTTTTATTTTGACCTACATTTCGGACACCATATCTCAAAAGTGGGTCAAAAAACTTATTGACGGCAAAAAGTAAACATTATTAGCACACTCTTTGCTACAAGTTTACAAAATTTCGGAGAATATCATTGAAGTGTAGTGTCAGAATCGCAAAATAAAAAAAACTATGAATTTGACCTAGATTTTGAACTAGGTATTTTGGTGGAATTATTACGCCAAAAGTAGTGCGAAATGGCCTTTTCACGTGTTGGCATAAAGTTTTGATGACATTTAAAGACATAGTTCCTCTTTCACGTATATCATCTCATGGAAATGGGCATACCAGCGCAAAGATCTTTGTTCCGTGGTGAAGAAAAGCCATCAAACATTGTCTGAAGAGCAGATTTATCTCCGTAATTCTACTTTTAACATGGCGACCTTGACCTTGAAAAAATATAGCCATTTGGGCGATAATAGGTGATTCAAAAGTGAAAATGAGTGCTTTTTTCGTAGTTTTACTTTGACCAAGCCTATGTAACAAATTTTTAATTTTTCAATTTTTTATTTTTGGAGTCCAGTACCATTTTCTAGCAGTTCAGACAGTTTTGACAGTAGGAAACTGTTTCCCAGTCAAGCTTGATAGGTGTTATACTTACATTAATGTGTGGAACACTTTAGATGTACAGGGAGTCGTTTTAACTGCTATTTTCTGTGAGATTTATTTTTGTTTTTATCTGTACATTTTTCTCACTTCCTGCTGACCTACATTCACTTACTCGTTTTTCCTTGCAATTTCACCATAATTAGAGCCAATGATGATTGGTTTTTGTTATATTTATCTAGTTTATATCTTAATCTAGCTAATACATTACAAGATATGTGTTCGTTTTGTGTTAAACAGCAGAAATCGTGATTGCTAGGCAAAGTCATTTATTTTGCAAAAGTTATTTCCTCATTGCACCATGGTTGTTTATTTTGCACTAGTGATATCCTGCCTGGGATTCTAGTGGACTGACTGGGTATTGCATCAGCCCATTAATCACTTGTTAGGTTCGTGTGCAAAACCTGTCTGGGGTATAAAAGCAGAGCACTGATCGCTCCTAGCAGACACGTACACCACTTTTGAAGAGGAAGGAGCTTCTATGTCAGTGTCTCATCTACAGACGAGGGACTAAGAGGCTGAGAAACTTAGAATATTTACGACATCCCAGAAAGATAGAATATTCCCAGCAACTGATGTCAGAAAGATAGAATATTCCCGGCAACTGATGTCCAGAAACTTAGAATATTTCGTATAACTGATGTCCAGAGAGATAGAATATTCCCGATAACTGATGTCCAGAAACTTAGAATATTTCGATAACTGATGTCAGAAAGATAGAATATTCCCGGCAACTGATGTCCAGAAACTTAGAATATTTCGTATAACTGATGTCCAGAGAGATAGAATATTCCCGATAACTGATGTCCAGAAACTTAGAATATTTCGATAACTGATGTCAGAAAGATAGAATATTCCCGGCAACCGATGTCCAGAAACTTAGAATATTTACGACATCCCAGAAAGATAGAATATTCTCGACAATTGATGTCCAGAAACTTAGAAGATATAACTGATGTCAGAAAGATAGAATATTCCCGGCATCTGATGTCCAGAAACTTAGAATATTTACGACATCCCAGAAAGATAGAATATTCTCGACAATTGATGTCCAGAAACTTAGAATATTTCGTATAACTGATGTCCAGAGAGATAGAATATTCCCGATAACTGATGTCCAGAAACTTAGAATATTTCGATAACTGATGTCAGAAAGATAGAATATTCCCGGCAACCGATGTCCAGAAACTTAGAATATTTACGACATCCCAGAAAGATAGAATATTCTCGACAATTGATGTCCAGAAACTTAGAAGATATAACTGATGTCAGAAAGATAGAATATTCCCGGCAACTGATGTCCAGAAACTTAGAATATTTACGACATCCCAGAAAGATAGAATATTCTCGACAATTGATGTCCAGAAAGATAGATTATTCATGCCAACCGACGTCCAGAAACTTAGAATATTTCGATAACTGATGTCAGAAAGATAGAATATTCCCAGCAACTGATGTCAGAAAGATAGAATATTCCCGATAACTGATGTCTAGAAACTCGGAATATTTCGTGTAACTGATGTCCAGAAACTTAGAATATTAACTGATGTCAGAAAGATAGAATATTCTCGACCAATGATGTCCAGAAACTTAGAATATTTCGATTACTGATGTCCAGAAACTTAGAATATTTCAACGACTGATGTCTAGAAACTTGGAATATTTCGTGTAACTGATGTCCAGAAACTTAGAAGATATAACTGATGTCAGAAAGATAGAATATTCTCGACCAATGATGTCCAGAAACTTAGAATATTTCGATTACTGATGTCCAGAAACTTAGAATATTTCAACGACTGATGTCTAGAAACTTGGAATATTTCGTGTAACTGATGTCCAGAAACTTAGAAGATATAACTGATGTCAGAAAGATAGAATATTCTCGACCAATGATGTCCAGAAACTTAGAATATTTCGATTACTGATGTCCAGAAACTTAGAATATTTCAACGACTGATGTCTAGAAACTTGGAATATTTCGTGTAACTGATGTCCAGAAACTTAGAAGATATAACTGATGTCAGAAAGATAGAATATTCTCGACCAATGATGTCCAGAAACTTAGAATATTTCGATTACTGATGTCCAGAAACTTAGAATATTTCAACGACTGATGTCTAGAAACTTGGAATATTTCGTGTAACTGATGTCAAGAAACTTAGAAGATATAACTGATGTCAGAAAGATAGAATATTCTCGACCAATGATGTCCAGAAACTTAGAATATTTCGATTACTGATGTCCAGAAACTTAGAATATTTCAACGACTGATGCCTAGAAACTTGGAATATTTCGTGTAACTGATGTCCAGAGAGATAGAATATTCCCGATAACTGATGTCCAGAAACTTAGAATATTTCGATAACTGATGTCAGAAAGATAGAATATTCCCGGCAACTGATGTCCAGAAACTTAGAATATTTCGTATAACTGATGTCCAGAGAGATAGAATATTCCCGATAACTGATGTCCAGAAACTTAGAATATTTCGATAACTGATGTCAGAAAGATAGAATATTCCCGGCAACCGATGTCCAGAAACTTAGAATATTTACGACATCCCAGAAAGATAGAATATTCTCGACAATTGATGTCCAGAAACTTAGAAGATATAACTGATGTCAGAAAGATAGAATATTCCCGGCATCTGATGTCCAGAAACTTAGAATATTTACGACATCCCAGAAAGATAGAATATTCTCGACAATTGATGTCCAGAAACTTAGAATATTTCGTATAACTGATGTCCAGAGAGATAGAATATTCCCGATAACTGATGTCCAGAAACTTAGAATATTTCGATAACTGATGTCAGAAAGATAGAATATTCCCGGCAACCGATGTCCAGAAACTTAGAATATTTACGACATCCCAGAAAGATAGAATATTCTCGACAATTGATGTCCAGAAACTTAGAAGATATAACTGATGTCAGAAAGATAGAATATTCCCGGCAACTGATGTCCAGAAACTTAGAATATTTACGACATCCCAGAAAGATAGAATATTCTCGACAATTGATGTCCAGAAAGATAGATTATTCATGCCAACCGACGTCCAGAAACTTAGAATATTTCGATAACTGATGTCAGAAAGATAGAATATTCCCAGCAACTGATGTCAGAAAGATAGAATATTCCCGATAACTGATGTCTAGAAACTCGGAATATTTCGTGTAACTGATGTCCAGAAACTTAGAATATTAACTGATGTCAGAAAGATAGAATATTCTCGACCAATGATGTCCAGAAACTTAGAATATTTCGATTACTGATGTCCAGAA